ACTTTGAGCAATATCATCCCACCTCTCTCTATATATATCTTCATCTGTGAAGTGACAGAGTGACAATCTCGTGTCATCAGAAGGCTTAGTTTAGCTCTGATCCTCTGTGTCCAGGTCTGTCAGTGCTGCCCTGCAAGGTTCTGCAGCGGCTGCTCTTACCCTGAGATGGGAGGGTGCAGAGGGACATTGTAGCACCCTAGGGCAGGACGGGGTTGCTTTAAAAGCAGAAATGTAGCTTCCTGCAGCTGCAGAGCTACAGACAGTTTGGTTGATGGTCGTGGAGAGGACTTTGGAGACCTTAGCATAGTCTTAAGACTTGTTTTCCCTTGGGAACCGGATTTGCCTTTGCAGATTAATGCTGAAGATTTGGGCTTCTGGCAAAGCTGTTTTCAGAGATGGGTATATACGTAACATATCATATAAAATAAAATGTTTTTATTTAATATTTGGGACTTTGCAGCTGTTTGGAACAGCTCTGTTGACCTCGTCTCCACGGAGGACACTAGGGGTCACCAGAGCATGCGGGAGGGCAGGCAGCCAGCCCTGCTTCTGAGGGGGTTCTCCCCAGCAGGGTGCTCTGCAGAGTTGACTCTTCTCTGAGTTTTGTTCCCAGATGGGCAGACAGCAAAATAATGAGTTCTGGTGTGATTGACTAATGACAGGAAGAAAGAGGGAGCCGTAGATTTTCAGGACTAATAAACGCTTTTGGTTCCTGATCCAGTGTGTCCCATTACAAAATTGATGATTTGTGTCTATTCTGGGACTTGATTGAAATAAATGTGCAGCCTAAAATTTAAGAGTTAAGTTTTATTTGTCGTGAGGACTCGAGCCAGTATGACTGCCTCTAAGATCACTCTGAGGGAATGCTCCCAAGAGTAGGGGAGAAGCTAGGATTATATAGGAGCTTTACAACAAAGACCAGGTAGTTGAAACAATAAAAGATTGCTTGTTATCTAAAGAATGCCATGTATCTCAAATTCAAGTATTTGGTGCTTATCCATGTATGGGATAATGCAATCATTTGGGTCTTTAAATCCATATATTTGACAAACACCTAGCTGTCTAGGGCCAGTATCCTGTTCTTTCTTATTCTGAGTCCGCTCAGGGGGCACCACTGTGAGTGGCTGAGAGGCTGGGCTGCAGTCCTGTCCTCGCTGGGGGAGGCAGCAGCCTCTGATGACTTGGTTTCAGCACTCTTTGTTTACTGACATGGTTGCAGTATTTTCATTCACACTGTAGTATTTTCATTCACAGTGCTCCCCCTTGGCCCTAAATTCGACCTATATTTTGAGAGACATTTCATGACCAAATTTGTCCCACGGTGCTAGGATGGCTCATTCCTAGTTCAGGTGAAGAATATTCTGAGCTGCCATTCAAGGTGTTAGGTTTTATTTCAGTCTCTGTTGATACTGAAATTTCTCTGGACCGCCTGTCTTGCTAGTCTATTTTGATCCAGGTAATGTTTGCCCTTCGTTGCTCATTCCCATACCTAGAATCACACTATTATATTTATTTTATGCAGGGTTATATGTTTTATCTATTTCTTCAAGATGTTTAGCCATCATCAATCTTTTAGGCCTAGTTACACATTCGGAAATGTAAGAGACAACAATTTTATAAAATAGACAGGATGTAAGTAATACAGCTAGTAACGTTAATAAAGTCATGAGTAAGAGTTTAATAGTCGAGAAGTTATATTTTGGGTTAAAATTTTGCTTGTTTTCCTGATTGAGTCTGAGTGATCTTATGAGTAAGTTCATATTTATGATCAGGCTCAGAGCAGGTATTAATTGGCCAGGTGAAATCTCCCACCTTGTAAGATCAACAGTGGCCTAAACAGAACTATAATTTCTTTTTAGAATAACGTTTCTGAGGGCTATCTAGTTAGAGCCTTGGAGTAGGGAAACCCACCAAGGTAACAAAGAAGTACTAGAGATAGGTAATTTATCATAAACTTAACAAGTGGAGTAGTTCATAATCAAAGGTTGGAGAAATTATCAAAGTAATTGTTATACAGGCCTGGTCCAATGTCTAGGGTCATCTGTCTACCTCAGATGTCGTCTTCTCATCCTGACATGGTAGCTTTTTCTCCAATTGGGCATTGCTTTAAGGTGAGCAGTGCTCTATAGGCCATTGCACTGCAGGGGATGTTTCTTATAGGAAATGAATCTGAAAGTCCGTTTCCTTCAGTTTTGGTGTGTATGGTCTAGTTAAGCGTACCTGATAAAGGGTCCTTCCGTTCAGGTTGGAGACAGTTCTTTAAGTCATGCCTGTTCCAGGATGTATAATCCCCTGGCTGCAGGTCATGGGGCATTGGAACTTTACCCAAGGATAGATTACTGAGCTTCAGAAACAAAGCTAGAATATCCTCTTAATAATTCAATTAAGCTTTTCAGCAATGTGACATAACAGCAAGGAATGATCTGGGAAGTGTCTTACTAAATATAGACCTCAATTAACAAAACTAGAAATTAATATCCACTACAATATTATCTTTTTTCTCTATAAAGTTACCCTCATTTTTCTCAAATATAGCCAAATCAAGATTAATTTGTTTACAAGTTAATTCTGATTATTTGATCATATAGGCTGTTTTAAATTGGCTGTGCTGGAACTTTTAATAAAGTGTCTCAGGGTAGAATGTTAATAAGGTTTTCTAAGGCCAGGAATGCCACGTCAAGGGCTTGACATGGATTTCTTCCTTACATATTTAGGTAAATTCTTTTCTCTTTAAAATCCTTAAAATACCTTGAGATTCCTATTTCTCTTAGGAGATGATCTTCCTAATTTGTCTGATAGAGCCCCTGGGCACCTAAGAGTTTTTAGTCCCTTGAGGAATCAGAGAGAAAAGATAACTGTTCCATGGCTGCTTACCTAGGTATAATTTATCAATTTGCCATGAATCATAACTAGCTTAAGGAGAAAAGTTTCTTTATGTCTGGGAAACAGGTTTAAAGTGAGTAGAATTTCAGACAAAATCAAAAATTATAACCATATTCATCAGTTTACTCAGTCCCATGTAACGAATTCTTTTAATGAGAGTTTTCATTAGAAATTTAAAATTTCTAACACACTTTAGTTCAGTGCTATAATTTGAAATTTATTAGAAATCAGTAAATCACCTTGAAGAGAAAGCATTTTGCAAAATCATCAGAAGAAAACAATTAACTGTCTATAAATGACAAAAGATTTAAAAGCATGGTTAAACACCATTACACTATAATCAATAATGAAACCTGGTCACAATAACCAGAATTATGACTGGTAACCTTTCAGATATACCAGAATTTTTGGGAGTCCATATAATTTCTGTAATATCTATATTAATAATATTTTCTCATACAATATAACCTAGGAAGATTTATTATTCATTTGACAATACCATGTTATTTAACATGCCAAATGAACCTTACTAGTTTAATATCTCTTTTTGGGATGTTTCAGGGGCCCTCTCTAGCATCCCAACCTTAACTGGAGATTAAAAGAAATTTAATTAGAAATTGATATTTGGGGAGCTTTTTGAAAGATTTCAAAACACTTGGTCTGATAAACATATAGATCACTGTAAAGTAGTACGTATTCATTAACAAGATAATACACCAAAGGTAAAGGCAGAACAGATCAGTTAAGTGGTATAAGAAGTTTCACAATTTGTTACTGAATGTGGATTAAAATTTTAAGAAAAGTTTTTCCTCTTAACAGCGAGAAAACCAATTGTAGCCTTGTACCACCTTACTTCTAAGATTCATTTACTTTGCCCAAGTTGATTCTAAACTTAGGCAATTCGGACCACGTACAAACCTCTTTCCTCAGGGTTCCTCTTCCACAAGCCTTCCACAGCTTTCTATGCTCATATTAGTGTATCCCTTATTTTCTCTTCCATTCAGAAGTAACCAGCTTCAGGACAAAGTCACAATTTTCATTAACAAAATATAATTCCACTCCTTATATCTTCCCTTACACATTTATCTTACTTTCCCAGGATAATGAGATCTTTCCCTTAATATTAGAGACTATTTCAGGGTGGCACCAATCATTTAATAATATTTCTAAACACCTTTAGTTTCTCTGTAAGAGGAAGTTAAATGTTATGTAATTCATATTTCAATCTTATTTTATCTGAAAATGGCATAGCTATTTAATAAAATCCTATCATTTAACTTAATTTAGCAGAACTCTAGAATTTAAAGATACCAAACATTTAGAGATTATCTTAAGCATACATTTTAAAAATGTATTTGAAAGAATTTACCCAAAGTTCTCACCTCATTTGCATTAAATTTACTTAAAATTTTACCACACCACATTAATATTGTTTTTCTTTTTGACAAATCTGCAATGGATGTAACAGGATCCTATTTGACTTTCACTAAACCTAGGTAGAGTAAAGGTGTTATATTTAATATTGATGACTTTAAAGATGTCTACATTAATTAGAACATACTGAAACAAAACAATATCAAATATTATCTTAATATTGAATATTTTCCATTTCACGTGAATCTGAAGGTCAACTTGGTCAGTTTTTATTTTAAAAATTCTAAATTTGTAACCTCTTATATTTTACATCAATTAAGCAGAGCTCTTTGACTTT